CTCTCAAAAAGCTACGTTATCCTCATCATCATTTGCTTTCAAATTTTGTAAATCTCCTCTGGTCACTCTTCATTCAGCCATCAAATTTCATTTTTTAATGTTTTGTCTTAAAGTCGCAACCAGGAAACTTTACTTACTACTGCATTAACCTGGTTTATTCGAGACATCAACCACCAATGTGGCTTCTGGTGCTGTGGATTCACTGGCTGCCTGTTGGTCCATAAATCATAATTCTGGCGTCCCTCCATTGACCATTGTGATGAGTTTATTCCAGTTTCCCTTGCGTTTGTCAAGGTGTTGGACCATGTTTGGCATGGACGGCCAAACTTGTCAAAGGTATATACATCCCCTGTTTCACCACTTGGATACAAACTTCATTTGTGACCGTTAAAACTCGGTTTGTGTTGTCAGAGTTGTTTCTAGAACGATCCTCCACGGCATTCCAACATCCCAACAAATTTCGTACTATCTTCCGCTCTGTTACTTCTCTTTATTGCTAATCTTTTATCTGAAATTGTTGTTCCTTTCAATGCTTTTACAGATGAGGCCAAACTTCATTGTTCCTGTTCTTACAAACTCTCGTCCATCAATACCACTCACAAGTACTTGTTTTGTCATTCATTGTCATTCAATTCAGACCTGAGTATCATCTTTGCCTGGGAGCCTAAAAATGGAATCTTTTCAGTGTACAGTGTATGTATCCGGAAATTGTAACTGATGTACATACTAGTTGCATTTCAACTCGGTAATTGCAACGTCGGTAATCTCGAAAAAAAGAACTTGGGTCAAGTTACCATCTGGCAACCCCCCTTGTTTGCTTGATCTTGGCTTATTGGGAAGCGGATTATGCTATATGTTTTATTTATTTTCCATTTTCACATGATTTGTTTAAACGTGTGACCCTGTATCGCCTTCTGCACAAAATCCAAGGAGGGGCTTGTTTGGAATATATGCAGGATAAACATTTATTGCCATGACCACGTAATTGTGAATGTGGTCATTCAATGAATAATCAGGTGTACTCCAGGAGTCCTGATGGACTTGTATTCCGGTGCAGTTATTGTAAAATACGAATTTCCATTCTTTCAGGAACTTCTTTTAAAAATTAAGGCTACCTTTATCTACCTTGATGGAAATAATGTTTTATTTTGTGATGGGGGAGCCCGTGACGCGTGCCGCTGCTATGGCCACCGTTTCACGTAAGACTGCCCTTCAGTGGTACATCAACTGTAGAGATGTGTGTTCAGCCATTATGTGTTCGCTATCAACCCAACTTGGTGGTGTCGGCACCATTGTGGAAGTTGATTATCGTTTACAAATTTCCATTTTTCAGTCGATTTTTATACCATTTTCTATTACATTGAATTGTTATTTTATATACTTCATTTATACTACTTATAAGTATTATTTTTCTTTTAAAGAAAATCATACTGTGGGGGGGGGCTCCGGGTGTTAACTTGACCCAAGAACTTTTCATAATTGAATTGAATTTGAAATGAGGTTGCTACTCAAAGCAAACGTTGCTATATATCGCTTTGTGTTTCAGAGCCAGTGTTAAGCTTTTGGTTAAACATTTGTTTTTCCCTACCGAAAATCAGCAGTACAAAGAAAACAAATGGTTAAAAAAATACGAGACAGTCATACCTGCAGTGGGATTTAACGCGCCATCTTTTGACAGTCTATTCAACAGTTCACATCGAAGTTCATGCTCGATTATCGTAAGCCGTTTATCGATCCACGGTTTTCCGGCTCGCATCTCTTACCTAACTGTGAGGTCGGTGTTGCCGTGATGATCATTCATTCTCGTCAAGGCCAAAAGGACCTCAACTCTGGAACACACTAACACCCACAANCTCCGGGGTTGCCCTCACACCATCAACCACCAGGGCAATTTCATTATTCAGATCTTTGTCAAAACAGTACTGATCGTAAGGGCCTATCTATTGAATTTGCCTCGGGCTCCCTAGCCCTGTGTTTCAGTGCCATCATTCCAAGCCCAGTCCGCAATGCCGAAAAGGCCTTCTTCGTGCTTCGATCAGTCAGACCAACCCATGTTACACTCTATCGATCGGGCAATCGGTGTCTGTCCCCAGAACATCTCACGGCTATCTGCGTTGCGGTCACAGCAAAGATGCACACTCACGCGTGCACGGATCGGAGGCATATTGTGTACGTATGGGCTTATGCATCAAAACTTGATTCAGGTGGCACAGCGATCTACGTGGATGATTGATAATTTTTAATTTTTTAATTTAGCTAATTTTTCCCTCCTTTCGGTGATGGAAAGTTCCAGCGTACAAGTGCAACCGCGACTCAGTGTTCCAGTTTTGTCCGTGAATCGTGATTCATAATCCGTGCCTACTTCAACGAATACAATCACTCACGCTAACGGTGCATCTATACGCATTGGGCATTTATTCTTAACTTCGTCAGACGAATGATAATACGCGCCCCAAGGCTCAAATCATGACCAATAACACCCTACTAATGTCTTTTACGCAAAATACTGTCTCTTTCTTCCTCGGAAAAATTCAAAAATGATCCAGATTCTCAGTTAAGACTGATTTACTCAGCAGAATGCACCACGGTGCTTACAGTGATTATCCTTTCCTGCGTCATTTAATTTAAATGTTGATCTATATTACTCATGAGTAGATGGTCGTATAATACAACATTTTCTGTGTTCGATATTACGTTGCCGTAGAATTAACGCCAATTAACGTTTTGCAATACAGCCACTCTCAGACAAAATGTAAAAAGATAGCAGTATACATAGTTTTATATGACACTGGTTAAAGAACAAGAATGGAGAAAACGGAGAAAAATGGAAACGGGATTGGGGGATTTGGGTACAAATGCGTAAGATGAAAATAAAATAAGCAGATTGTAGAGAACCACAGGTAAAGAACAAGGTTTTGTTCAATTGTTTCATCGTACACTGTTTTGATCTGTTTATTTTTGTTCTTAATTATTGAGGAGCACTGGAGTTAAACAGAAAAATGGCATCACTGACTTATATTCTGAGCTGTATATCTCAGCGTCTGTATTATCTTTTGAGTCTCAACCTGGAAGGCGGGCGACAAGAACCGGAAAAAATACGCAGGCTTAATTCCTCATGTCCCTCAGTCCATGGTTTGAACACCGCGTTGCTTCTCCAAACCGCGCAAAGCACGTGTAAAGAGAGCACGGAATGGTAGACAATGGGCAGGTATACACAGAACGTGATCAAACCACTAGAAGCTGTATAAAGCGATTTCCACATTCCCAGAAACAATATCGGCACCGTAAACCTCTCCACTGATCACTTGACGTCACAATTAAACACGGAAAGCTTTTTAAACGATCGTTGATAGAGTACATAAAATCTATTGACATCCTAAGCTGCACAGGAAAGCACTGCCAGCTACTATGATGTACGTCGACCTCTTGAGGGAAATCAGAGGTCATGGTTGTAGCGCAGGTGTCACTGTTTGGCTAGAGATACTCTAGCTTTCAGTGCCCGTGATGACATCTTCCCATAATCCAACTTCCACTTCCGATTAAGCATGGGAACCACTTAAACCTCTTAACAATTTATAGCTGTTCACCCGGGAGGGTTTGAACTTCACTGTTCCCTAGAGCTAACGAAGCATTTTATGGAAAATCTTGTGATAGAGTTGAAAGGGAATAGGGGTAAAGGTCAATCTACTTGCACCCCAATAGAAAAAGCAGGGGTGGAGAAAGCTGATTGTAGACCTTGACCCAAGCTGAGATATGGCGATAATGTTACACGTGTTTCTCAGGTATTCCGCCCATCAACAGGCAGTTCCATTGTGTGGTCCCATTACTGGAGTCTAAGACCAAGCGGATGTCCAGGCGCACAATTATCGTTGGTCTCTGATAAATATGACGGTTCTCTAGCAAGTGTCTGAGGGGGAGGATAGAATAGATGTATCCACGACCGGCTCAAAATCCAGTCTACTTCTAGAGAATCTACCCTCCACTAGTATTGTAAATTTTGCAAAGAATCCCTGCTGACAACAGATTTGAAGCGGTTGAAATTCAGTTTCTAATCCTGTGATTAGTTCAGTTATTGTAGGAGCCTCCTTCAAGATGGAGGTAACATTCGATAATGTCTCCGGATAAGAGACTTGCTCAAGGTTGCAAATCTTGGAGAATGGAAATTGCAGTTCACCAATAAGCTTTATTTCACTAACTTGAATTGAGCTGAGGGAAGACCACTGGAGTCTTAGGACTTTAGCTTCCCTGTAGATTTATACCTCAGAAAGTAGGGTCGTTGAAAGTGAATACGGTAGTTATACCGGAATACCTTTAGTAAAAGAGTACACTGATGGTCAACCAACCTGCACCATAAAGTGCTCCACTTAGCTCAAAAGACGCCGCGGTTGATTGTCGAAAGACCAGAAGTGAACTTCACAAAACGCTTCATTCACAAAGCTGTTGTTTTCTACCGGTGCGTCGGATGAGATTAACCCCCTTGCAGTAATTTTCCTTGGTAAGTTAAACTCTTCGAAATAAGCGGTCCGTCTGTGAAGGCTCACGTTACGTTCATCTCAAGTTGTAGTTTTACTTAAACCTTTCGTGAAATGCATCACCACGTGCTCCAAAACTATCGGTTCAGATGACTGCACAGCACAAAGTATCACAGGATACACATTCACTCCAATATTAGAGCATCGAATCACGGAAAGCACAAAAGCATCCATAAATAATAGCAGATATAGGATAAAACAAATACATGTCAGAATCAGTGACCATCTCCGAGGACATAAAGGCGCCATTTTGTCCACAACTCAGAAAGTCACTACATGAATGATCACAGTGAATGCGGTGAAGGCGAAGTTCACAGGAAGTTGGACACAGATATGTCAATAAATTTATCTTCCTTCTGATCTATTTTGAAAGAAGCCGAATTGACCGTATTGCTGTGTACATAACAGATTTGATTCGCTTCCGAACTGCATGTTTCCGCAGAGTCCAGAAATTCACTTTGTATCGAGTCAAAGCGGATAGATGACTTTTACAAAAGATATAGGAAAGATTCCTTGTTGTCCGGTGGACGCAGACTCTCCGCGGAACCAATTGGAATCCACAGCCTCGTGAAGGTATAATATGTCACCCGACTGAAAAGTAAATAATGGTAACATCTTTAGCGTCAGATGATTTTGTATCATAAGGCAGAGTTAACTTTGGAGCACTTCAATCATTACAAAGGCTCTTATGTTAACTTTACAAAACAATTCTCCGTGACCTTAATCAGCGTTTGTACTGTGCATATGCGCACTAACACTTTCTTAAATTCGTAAGCTCTAGATTTTGACACACTTAACTTAACGCAGATGTATGCCGAAACCTCCTGTTCCCTCTGTAACGCAAGTGTTCACAAACACCGGGTAGAAAGAGTAACATTTCAAATTCGTCCCAAATTCACATAGCGAACTGGTTTCTGTGATATCAGTGATTCCAAACATTCATTTATTTTCTGTTTTCTAGTTAGTATGAGGGATGACGTTTAAAGTCTTTACAATTATTTTGCTTCCCTGTCGTTTTGTATAACGCGTGGATGCTGCTACCCCTACTATAAATGATAAGAGTTCAGCATCAATAGCAGATCTACAATGATGTGCATCAAATCAGTTTCTGACTACCCTTCAGCCGTTGGATGATTGTAGCTCGAGATGCGGATTCTGGTTTTCCTGTGCTCTCCGAAGTGGGGTGTTATCCGCAGACATTTCGTCTCCAGGCTGGGCAAAATTATCAGTTCAACTTCAGGGAATACACCAGCACCAACATCAGCATCCGCATCCCGAGCTTCAATCATTCCACAGCATATCCAACGCATCTGGGTGTGAAACACTTAAACATGCTCGACTATGGGAAACATTTGCCAGCCAAAGAGTAGCTGTTTCTCCTTGACGATTGTTTGAGAAGATATGTATTGCCTGTGAGCGTCCGGTGTAAACCATCGAATAACTATCGAGCTTGATGGAATCCATTGAAACAGAATGATCGGAGAAAGATTTGTGTTAATCACGGATCCACACACTCGATTGACCAAATAGAAATAAGTCATCAGTAGAGAAAAGAAGTTCTTTTGAAGTTTAATGGACAACGGATTTCTTGCACAGTCAAGAAAAGCAATACATCACTAGGCAATGACCGCACGAGATATGTCACAAGAGAACGGCTCCAGAGGAAATCGTTCCGAAAAAACCATCAGAATAGGGATAAAAACATATACAATCGGGTGTGAACAAACACGGCCGAACCACGGTCTGTTTACAGGTTGAGAATTGAACATAAACCATGCTAATGCTGATCGTTGAGACCTCATTGCAGCACTGGAGCCCACTTTGAAGACAAGCAACATATCACGGAATACGAAAGAACGGGCTTCCCCGAAGTTGCAAGGATGATGTTGTGTAGCCTGGCTAGAAAACGTCTGCGAACAACGCCGACACTAACATCCTTCCTCCGTGTCATGAGAGCGGAAACATTACACTATGTACCTGGACTCATTTTAGCAAAAAAAATAATTCAAACGAATGGTTTTTATGCGATTTTTTGACTGCGTATTATGATGATTGTTGTTTCGATAAAATCTATCGTTTGATTACCTGGAGTTGTAAATCGTCTTTTGCCTCCGGTGTGAAATCGTACAGTGCTTGAGCTCGCGGTCTGTACTGCAGTAGCCCGTCCAACTCTTCTGGGTCTAGTATGCGGCGTACAAATGTACTGGGAACTTGCCCTATTTGTCCATACCATGTGCTACAACGAAGCCAACGTTCAGGGATGGTCAAATCGTTTGCATGTGCCGGTGGAGGAAGTGGGTCCAGACATCGAAGTACGGTGCCGGCCTGTAATGCAGATAAGCACAAAAATGTTCAACAAGTTTTGACTATCCCCAGGCGATAGGAAACCAGTACAAAAATGACCTTTTTCATCAGAGGGGCAATCGTGTCCAGTCAGTTCTGACACTTCCAATGACGATGAGAAACGAGTACTGTATCCTGAAATGTGAAGGTGAAGCATGCTACGGTGAGTTAACCCGGATAGTCCAAAAGTTTTAGGCATGGAGTTACCATCTACTCAAACCCGGGGTAAGAACCCCAGTGGATGTAGTGAACATGACCCTTAATAAGAATGAATTAAATGGTCAGTGCCTTCAATGCTATTCAGTGGCGAGTGAAATGTCAACTCTGAATGATGAGCAGATTCTCATAAACAAATAAATTCTATCAAAATGTTTTAAATGGATGGAATGTTTTATTTTCACTTTTGTGTGGGTGCTAATGGTCACAGATAAGTTTGCAACAAATCTGAGTGAAATTGTGTTCATGTGGTTGGGCTTGGTGAGGATTGCTTGGGCAAACATCAGCTGATTTGTTCAAGTGATTTGCAACAGCGCTTATCCAGGTAATGACACAACTTCAATGCATCGCCGGAACTCGTGTAGCTGGTAGGATTGGAAGGACAGTGAATTGGATATGATCAAGATAATTTTATTTACTAAAGTTCACGATATTTGTAGAGAGAGGGAGAGAGTGGAAAAGGCGTAATGAGTCATCGAAAGCAACAATATTCCCTTCCACTGACGGCAGATGACGCAAGATTTTTTGATTATTATACAAAGTTTGCATCTAAAGTTTAAATGAAAACTGTTGGTAGTCAGAATAAAGCCCAGACACCAGCCTCATTAATTTGTTGTACACCGACTAGATGAAACTGACTGCTCAATCAAACAATGTGCCAACCGTGAGGCATAAGTAGAAAGATTTAGTTTCAGGCAAATTGTCGGCAAAAAACTCATTCACCCTTACTGTGGGTTCTAACTTGAATGCAAGAAGTGCGCCAGGTGTCTTGGACATAAATGTTGTCTATGTGATTGAACTCAGATTTTTTAGAAATTTTTTTTTTGGGGGGAGGAGTCGTCGATTAAAAGAACGCACAGATGAATTGCTTTAGCAAAACTCAATCTGATTATTAATTTATATCATCTAATATAAAATGAAAGTGGGGTCCAATTGAACTCACGTGTACTGTTAAGTCACCGCTTTCTGTGCCAAAAAAATCGTACGATACGTAAAGCCATTGCTCAGAGTTCTTGTTTTTGTTTTTCAGGGAAGAGAATATAGCCTCTTTGAAATTATCCGTCTGTTTTGGATCCAGATTTGGGACTGAGTTTGGAGCTTTGGGACAACAGGATGGATCTGGAAGATCGGATACGGCATGATTAACTCCAGACCGCAATTCGGTACCGGTCGCTAGCGAGTTTTCCGACGAGAGTTCTTGTGTCAGTCTGGTCACATAGGTCGATGGTCCCTGTTTCGATTCTTGAGACTCTTTCGCAGTTGGCAGTGCGTTTTGTGAACCGTTGAACATGGTAACCGCGTATTCTTGCAAATATTTTGTTGGTTTAGCATATTCTCTCTCTGTGGTTTCTGTGTATGAACCATGTTCTTCGTAGGTTCTTTTGTCTTCATGCACTAGCGTATCTTCTCTGCTTTTCAGAACAGAAGGAATATCAGCTCCAGAGTAGTTTAACATTGGCTTCTGATGAAGGGCTGGCTTGTTAGGGTAGGTTGAACTAACCGATTGATTTTCAGTCATATAAGCTTTATTCACAGAAACCCGATCATTCGCTTGGGAGTGATCTTTGTGGACATAGGGCTCCGCTGCATATCCAGTGGGTTTGTGTGCCCTAGTGGGTTGATTGACCGAGAGTGGGGATTCATGGTAAACGCCATCAGACTGGTTGCTTTTGCGAGATAAATCTATCTCAGACTTGGTGGAGACTACAACTCCATTGTCGTTTTTTAACTGTCCCGCACGGGTTCTGTCCTTTAGCATGGCGGAATAAGCCAGAGCCGGATCGGAAGAAGTTGATGTAGGATATGCTTCAGTAGGAGCCAATTTGCCTTTCCCGAGAATTCTGTTTTGCTCACGTGCAATCATCGCCAGCGGAGTCTGTGCAAGAAAACATTCCACAGGGAATGAAATGAAACAGAAACTGTCACGAGGAAACGGTGACGGTAATACACGAGATCGGAAATCCGGAAGGCTTTTATAATATAATAACAGGTTAATTTCTCCAACTACTGCGTGATCACTGATGCATCCGATTCCAGTTCATTAAACTATGTCGTTTGCGGTGAGCATCTACTTGTTCACAAATTTCTGTGCTCCGTTCTAACAAACTTTCTCATTGCAGAGGACATGCCGTTTGATATATAT